GCAAGGCAGATTGGGCAGTGGGAGGTGGGGGTTGGCTGCTGACAGGGGCCTTCCCAATGTGTCTTTGCCCCCACCCCCTCACCCCTCAGTGAGAGCTTATACCAGCTCCTGTCTCAGACGTCCCCAGACAACATGCACCGCAACGTGGCTCAGTATGGACTCGACCCAGCCAGCCGCTACCCCAACCTGAACCTCCAGGCTGTGACCCCCAATCAGGTGAGACCCTTCTGCCAACCCCCATCCCCCTGTCAACACCCCGCTCCCGGGCAGACCCCTTCCCCTGGCTTCAGCTCACCTGGAGCTCTGGTATGGGCTGCCTTAGGTCCGAGACCTGTACGATGTGGCGGCCAAGGAGCCTGTGCAGAGGAGTGACAAGATAGACACGGGGAAGACCAGTCTTGGTGAGCAGACCTCCCTCCAGGGGGACACAGGGTAGAGGCTGGGCAGGGGGCGGGAACACTGCTTGGATAAGAGCCTCTAGGGTGGGGGTGGGAACTGCATCACAGAGTAGCCACTACAGGTGCACCTCCAACCTGGGCTGTTTTGCCAGCCCAACTCTACTTTCCTTAGAGCCCCAGCCTTCCTTCTGCTCTAGATGGTGCACTATTAGCCATTTCCTTTGTCACTCCTGGACATTAAATGAGAATGGGGGAGAAGGAAATGTTACTGACGGTGGTGCCCCCGGGAGGGGAGTGTGTGTGCCTGACTCCACCTCTCATGCAGGATTCCCCTCCTTCCCTCGCTGCTCTGTCTCTAATCAACTGGGCTGTGAGCCAGTGGGCAACAGAGACAACCTTGGGCAAGCCCAGCCTTTTCTTCCAGGGGCAGCTGGCACCCAGGAGGAGCTGCTACGCTGGTGCCAGGAGCAGACGGCTGGATACCCGGGAGTCCGTGTCACAGACCTATCTTCTTCCTGGGCAGATGGGTTGGCTCTGTGTGCCCTGGTGCACCGTCTGCGGCCTGACTTACTGTGAGCCGGGGTGGGGCCCATGAGGTGGGGATAAGAAGGGGAGGTCCCTGGCAGGCCTCAGTAAGGGGTTTACTGGGAGGAGTTAGTATGCCCCGTTGAGTCCCAGCTCCATGTTTTTGTTCCAGTCATTTAGCCACCCTAGAGACAGTGTCCCTGCCTGCACACCCACACCCTTTGAGAATCACATGCAGAGAACAGCCACCCTCACCTCCCCTGGCTCTCCCCTCCTGGTTCTTCTCATCTCTCATTGGCTCCTTTCCCACACTACACAGGGAACCCTCGGACCTGCAGGGCCTGGGGGCTCTGGAGGCAGCTACCTGGGCGCTGAGGGTGGCAGAGCATGAGCTGGGCATCGCGCCCGTGCTGTCGGCTCAGGCGGTGGTGGCAGGGAGTGACCCGCTGGGCCTCATTGCCTACCTCAGCCACTTCCACAGTGCCTTCAAGAGCATGCCCCCCAGACCAGGTGAACTGGAGGGCAGGTGTTGGGAGGTGGAAGTGGAGAGGTGTCCAGGGGGCATGGAGCCATCGCCCCTTCTGCCCTGACCCCCTGCCCTAACTCTCTTTGCAGGCCTGACCAGTCAGATCTCCCCAGGGACTCCCAATGCTGTTCTATTCCTTGGCAAGCTCCAGAGGACGCTGCAGCGCACCCGGGCTAAGGTAGAGGAGAGTGGGTAGGGTTGGGTGCCCAGTGGAGGTGCCTGGGGTGGCTGGAGCAGGCTATTCACAAGGAGCCTGTGTGTGTGTGTGGGGGGGCACTGGAAGCTTAAAGTTGCATGCTCAGGTTTGCACAACCTTGTTGCAGGAAAATGGGGAGGAAGCTGGTGGCAAGAAGCCTCGCCTGGAGGTAAAAGCTGTCCCAAATGACCCACCCCCTGCTCCCCTGTTGGCCCCCTCAGCCTATCTCCTCACCTGACTCTACTCCCTTCCCACCTTTCTGTGCATTTGCACCTGACCACTCTTCTTCTGCCCTCCTGGCCTGACCATCTATCTCCACAGGCAGAGGCTGAGACTCCAAAGACAGAGGAAGCACCTGCCCCAGAACCCATAGTACCCCAGCCACCCCCATCCCATCAGCCGGAGGAGGTGAGAGCCCGGGCCCCTGTCTGCAGGCCAAGGGCCAGGGTTGTTGGGGGATGGATGCTTCAGGGGAAGGAGGAACTTGGCAACTGCCTGAAGCCCTCACTGATCATGTCCTGGGGGTGGGGGCTCTGCAGGCTGGTGCCGGGGACTTGTGTGCGCTTTGTGGAGAACGCCTCTATGTCCTGGAGCGCCTCTGTGCTGACGGCCGCTTCTTCCACCGAAGCTGCTTCCGCTGCCACACCTGTGAAGCCACACTGTGGCCGGGCAGCTACGGGCAGCACCCTGGAGACAGTAAGTGGGTTGGAGACCTCCAGGACATGAAGGAGGGGGAGAATGTGCTGGCCTCCAGACAGCACTTTTCTTCCCCTGAACTCAGGGACTTCCATGTCCCCTGGGGGGCCTTCAGATGGTCACCTGCATACCCCACTGTCCCTGAGAAACCCTGGAATGTCTGGGCACTAGGCTGCCCCTACATGATACCTTTACATCCTCTCCATCTTCCCCAGAACATTTCTACTGCCTCCAGCACCTGCCCCAGCCAGACCACAAAGAGGACATCAGAGATGGGGCCTCGGAGAATCCGGTAAAGACAGAGTGTGTGTGTGTGTACGCCTCTGTGGTGCTGGTGGGTAGGGAGCTGCAGGAGAGGAAAAAGGTGTCCGGCCCCACACACATTGCTGGGGGTAGCTGTGTGCTGCAGGTGCAGAGCAAAAGATGTTTTGCTTTACTTATTGCAGTATCCCAAGCATCTAGAACCTTGCCTTTTTAGTCAGTGGGGGTAAATGATTGACTACCAGGGCCCATAGGTGCTCCAAGCATGGCAGGCAAGGAGCCATGAGCCAGAGCACATGGTGGCTTTTTTCAGGAACTCCCTACAGGTGATGACAGCACGCCATCAGGCCCCTTGGCTCCCACAGACCCACAGGAGGGAGCCAATCCCCTCCCAAGGCCCACCCGTCGGTTGATCCGCCTCTCCAGCCCTGAACGCCAGCGCCTGTCCTGCCTTAACATCACCCCTGATGTGGAAATGGAGGCTCCACCCAAGCCGCCACGGAGCTGTGCTGCCTTGGCCCGCCAGGCCCTGGAGGGCAGCTTTATGGGGTGGGGTGTGCCCGCCCAGAGACCTCAAGGTAACTGCTCTCCCCACCAACCTGCTGCTGACCCAGAGTGGGGGAGGGGATGGGAACATGGGGATTCCCACAAGGGATTCTGGGGAATCGAAAGTGGGGGTCACGGGGATCCCAAGTCACATCTGCCGCTCATCTGCTCAGATCTGGTGACCTTGGAGAAGGAGGAAGAGAGTATATCATCCAGTGAAGAGGAAGAGGAAGAAGATGATGGTGTGCCAGTTGACTTGGAGCTGGAGCAGGTGAGTGGGAGGAACCAGCCACCTGTTGGGCTCAAGCCGACATGACACATCCACAAAATGCTTCCCACCCCAGACCTCAGGAAAACCCCATACTGTGTGCCATCCCCTAGGCCCCTGGGGACTCTCACCTGGCTGCCCCCTTCTCTGCCAGGACTTTCTTGCTGTCTCCTCTTTCAAGCAGACCTTCCCCCACTCCTCCTCCCACAGGCCTTGATGACTTTGGCGAAAAATTCAGGCACCATGGCCAAGTACCCGACGTGGCGCCGGACTCTGCTGCGCCGAGCTAAGGAGGAGGAGATGAAGAGGTTCCGCAAGGCTCAGGTGAAGTGTGGAGGTCCCAGGAGTACTAATGGGGGGAGGGGAGGGGGAGGTAAGAGCCCTGAGCTGCTTAGGTGCTCCTGTTCCGGAGCAATCTGGATGCCTGAGCCTCCCGTTTTGCACTCCTCAGGCTGTCCAGCGGCGACTCAACGAGATCGAGGCTTCTCTGAGGGAGCTGGAGGCCGAGGGTGTGCAGCTGGAGCTCGCCCTCAGAAGCCAGGGCAGTGAGTGCAGGTTCAGAGGGGAGGGAAAAGCTGGGATGGCTCTCTGCTTGTGGCAGGGTTCAGTCCTTGGCCATCCCTTAAGCCACCAGGCTATGGGGCCCAGCCACCCAGCTCTAACACTTGTAATCAGTGGTGCCTTTCTTTCAGTCCTGTCATCCCTAGGACTGACCCCAACCCCTTCTGACCTTGGCCAGAGGTGTCCTAACCACTGTCTCCCTTCTTTCCTTCTCAGGCACCCCAGAACAGCAAAAGAAACTATGGTTGGAGCAGCTGCTACAGCTCGTTCAGAAGAAAAACAGCCTAGTGGCTGAGGAGGCCGAGCTCATGATCACGTGCGGAGTGGGGCGTGCTGGGGGATGGTGTGTAGAGTTGGGGAGCCTTTGGGTAACCCGGACAGCTGCACCCTAACTCCTGACCTCCACAGGGTGCAGGAGCTGAACCTGGAGGAGAAGCAGTGGCAGCTGGACCAGGAGCTACGAGGCTACATGAACCTGGAAGGTGAGCAGGTGTGATGGGAGCTGGGCTGGTGCTGATCAAGCCACAGGTCCTCAGCACTGTGGGCTTCTGATGTGGCTCAGGAGGCAGCTGGGGAATGCACCCTTCAGTCGGCCTTCCCTAGGGGTGCCTCGCCTGCCTACCCAGTTGGTATCTCTCTCTTCAGAAAGCCTCAAGACAGCTGCTGACCGACAGGCTGAGGACCGGGTCCTGAAGAAGCTGGTGGATGTGGTGAACCAACGAGATGCCCTCATCCGCTTCCAGGAGGAGTGCAGGCTCAGCGAGCTGGCCTTTAGGCCAGAGACCCAGGGCTAGACGAGGAGGCTTCCCAGCAGATACAGTGACACACTCATCCGTTCAACTGGACTGCCTAGGGGAGGGCTTCACTGTTGACAATAAAAAACGCTTCTGCCACCAACAGGCCTTGGCATGCTCGCAGGAGGGATGGAAGACGCACAGGAGCCTGAAGGTGTGCCCTGTGTGAAGCGGGCCGAGCTTTTGGCTCCCATGGGCCCGTCTGCCAAGGAAGAAGGTGATGAGCCTCTCAATTGTTCAACTTTATTGCTCTTTCAGTCCTTCCCCCTCCCGTAGCCCCTGGAGTGGAGCTGCCTCACGCTCTTGGTCCGGCTCCTGGGCCTCTTTTGCCTGTCCCAGCACGTGCTGGAGCTCAGCCTGGGCCCTACATAAGCCTTTGGCCTCCTGGATGTGGAAGAGGTAGACAACTCCTGCCCCCAGCACCAGTCCTACATTGGGGGTCCATAGCAGTATGGCCACTTCTTTAGCCCCTTCTCTGGCTGCCAGTGCACACAGCAACGCCAGGAGAAGCAGCCCCAGACCAATCACATAGCTAGCAAAGGTGGCCCACCAGCGAGCCTGGGCCATTCCCTGCCCCAGCTCGCTCCACGCCTCCCTTAACACACCGGTCAGCGGAGACTTCTCTCCTGGTCCTGGAATGAGAGGGACAGAGGTCAGGGCAGAGGGTCTGTCTGGAGGTGAGGAAGGAGCAATGGGAGAGCGGGGCAGGGTGGTACACACCAGAGGTGGGGCTGGGATCTTGCTGTGGAGGGCTGTGCCTCACACACAGAGTGGCCATCAGGGCCTCATGATCGGAGAGAGGGCCGCCGTGGTTCGGGTCATGGCCCGTGGTGGTTTTGAAAGTCTTGCAGGAGATGCAGAGTCCGGAAACAGCCTAGGGCAAGTCAAGGGCACAGAGAGGCTTCTGTGGCAGGTTCTCTTCTTTCAGGAGAACCTGCTCCCAGTCCTCCCATTCTCCACCTATCCTATCCATGGTCCAGCGCCAGCTGAGGCCCATCACAGGGGATAGATGAAGAGGCCAGTAGGGTTAGGATGTCTTGGGCATGGGAGCCTGACCTTGTAGAGCACGTAATCGATGCGAATGCCACAGGGAAACAGCTCCAGGTCCTGCTGGCTGACATAGCAGTTCCCAGGTACCATGGTACAGCCATCTTCAGCACCCTAAAGGGCACGAACGGCTCAGACTAAGATAGGCAAGGAAAGAGGGAAAAGGGCTGGGGCATAGGCAGGAAGATGGGCTCTCACCTGGAAGTCCTGGGCCTCAAGGTAGGCATCGCATAGCCCCGTCCACTCCTTCAGCAGGCGGCAGCCCAGGTCTTTGGGGTGCATGTTGAGGTCTCCACACAACAAGACCACGTCTGCCTTCTTGGACGTGTGGCTGGGGGAGGAAGGCATTCTTCCCTCACCGTTTTTGCCCTGTTTAAGTGGGGTCCCAACATTCCTTGTGGCCCCTGGCCCCCCATCCCACTTCCCCTGTAAGCCCAGGCTCACACACTGGATGAAATGGGCCAGTTCCCAGGCTTGGGCCACGCGATGTGCTAGGTAGATGTCCCTCTGGCGACTGTACTCGGCATGGAGCTGAGTGAGAAAGGAGAGGACCCCAGGTAAGCTGGGGGGCCTGCGATCGGACGTGCTGTGGAAGGGTGAACTCTGCCCGCTGCTATCCTAAGAAGTCCTATGCTACCACCTCAAAGACTCTGCCAGCTACTCGAAACTGCCAAGCTTCTGAACAACTCCCAGAACCCACGGCAGATGGCAAAGTGGCACATTTCTGCCAGGCCAAGCAGAACTGCTGGTGGAATTCTGTTCACTGTGGTTTCTTTATAGAGACATCAAAGGACAAAACTACGCCAGACACTGTAAACCATGAAATGAACAAGACTACACCAGGCACAACAACAGCATCAAAGAAGTGACCAAGAGGCCCCAGCGTTTCTGAAGACTTTGCTATTCTGAATTCTGAACAAGATTGCTCGATGTGTCCTTTCTAGAATCAAAATTTGCTGTTGAACAGTTTTGTGGGGCATGCCCTCCATTTCCTGTCAATTCTGTGTGAGAGTCCATCCTAACAAACTCTGTGTAGGGGGCTTGCACGCATGCCTCATTCATTCTAGCGTCACCTAAAAGCATGAAGACATGAACCCTCACTGTCGGTTGGCACCTAGTGGCGAACCGCCTCTCCCGCCCGCGGCGCTGCCGGCCTCCCCACTCACTCACGTGGGTCACATAGGCGTTGACCACCAGTCCGTTCAGATGCAGCACCAGCAAGCCCACGGCCTTGCCACAGAACCAGTCTCCATGATGGATCTGCAGGGGAGGGTGAGGCAGCGGGAGCTCAGGGTCACATTGCCCCGCTGCAGCCGGGGCAGGAGGTGGAAGAGGTGGAGAAGGCCTTGCTTACCATATACGGGTAGCCATTGAGCGTGTAGACGTGCTGCGTGAGTTCCTGGATTGGGTGTTTGGAGAAGACACAGAGGCCACTGCCAATGATGCCGCTGAAAGCCAAGTCCTGCTTAATAACCAGAAAAGTAGGCAGGGAAACACCCGGCCCTTCACCTGCCTGGTCTGACCAGCCCCTTTTTTGTTTTTCTGCCTCTCTCTACTTCTGGGACTAGCCCCACCGGCCAACAAAAGTTCAAGGCAACAACAGTTGCAGGAGGATTGACCCGGACAGATGGGAGATAATAAGCCTGAGATAGGCAGAAGTGATAAGATCTTCCCAGGTCACCCTCTGAATGAAGATGAAGAGGCCAGGAGTTCGCTGGCAGGTGCAGGAACGGCTGGCACGGCCAAGTGCCTCACCTCCGGAAGTAGTGTGCGGCTGGGTAGGTAGGCGACAGCTTCTGTTTCAGGTACTGGAAGTCGTACTCGCTCCACACCTGAAGAAAGGGTTATGAGGATGGCAGCCTGGCGCCTCCCGCCCTGCTCGCCCGTCCTCCCTCCCGGGGGTAGCCGAGTCCCGCACCCCAGCCTGCACACCTCCTGCAGCAGGGCCAGGTCGAAGCTCTCCATGTTGAGAAAGTCCCCGAGGCGCGTCAGCCGCTCGGCCCGGTGCTTGCTCAGGTAAGGAATGCCCCTGAGGAAGAGAAGGGGCCAGGCAGGGGAGAGACGTGGTTGCTGGCACCCGGGAGCGACGCTCTCCGGTCGGGTCCGATGGAGTCGCGGCCCCGGAGCGGCAAGAAAGCCTCGCTGTTTCCCTTCCCGGGCCGCAGCGTGGGTGCGGGTGGAAAGTGGGGTCCCCACCTGCCCTCGGAGGGGCACACGCACCAGTAGTTGAGGTTAAAGACCCTCAGTCGTAGCGAGAAGTTGGGCTTCATGGCGGAGATGCTCCGACGCCGGCCGGCCGGCTCCGGCTCCCGGCGACTCCGCGGCGGGGGCGGGCGGGCCGCGCCTTCTTACCCGGCGGCGCGCACAAGGGTGGGCGGCCCCCCACGACCCAAGCGGCGCCCGCGGCCGCCCGGCTCCCGCGTTGCCCGGACGACCGGCGCGCTGACCCAGATCGCGCGGCCCGCCACCCCGGAAGGCCACTCGGTTGCGACAGCTGGGCGCGCACCGGCCGGCGACGGCGCTGTGGGCCGGGCGGAGGCGGGGTGGCGTTCCCGAGTGGGCGCCCCGGGCGGGCGGGCGGGCAGGCAGGCGGGCGCGCGTCGGCTCGCTCCGGGTCCCGGAAGTTTGCCTCGGGCCCGGGCCGCACGCGCGCGCGCTCTCGCCGGCCCCCTGACTGCCTTCCTCCCACCCCCCCAGCAACAGGCGCCAAGTTGAAGGAAGGCCCCGCCTGTTCGGGGAGGAGCGCGCAGGGGGCGGGGCCGCGCGGTTGCCATAGCGACTTGTTTGTGTTGGCGCGCCCGAGTCCAGCCGGACGGCTCGAGGCGCGGCCATGGCCAGCAGGCCGCCGGGAGGGACCCGGGCTGGCGCCGGGTGCGTTTCCAAGTCGTTGCCCGCGCGGCCGCTGCAGGTGAAGGTGGTGGGGCTTTTCAAAAGTTCCAGCTTCCAGACTGCGAAAAGTACTGCTGAGGTAACCGCGAGGAACCCCTCAGGCGCTCGCGGCCGCCTCGCGCTCCCGGCTCTGGTTGGCTGGGTAGGGGGTCGGCGTTGAGGACGCGGAGGAGCAGGCAGGGGAGGGTCCCCAGCGGGCACGGCGAGTCCAGAGCGAGAGCTGAGCGAGGGAGCCTTCAGAAGTGCAGGGGGAAAGGTGGTGCTCTCCTACGTGCCCACACATCTTATTCCACAATATTTTAAAAATGATTTGTACGTTTAAAAAATCATGCAGAATGATTTTTGGAGGAAAGTGATACCATCTCACCAACTGTTTTTTAATGCATGTTTTCTTCACAACTGATTTCTTTTCTTTAATTTAAAAAATATTTATTTACTTTTATTGGAAAGGCAAATATACAGAGAGAAAGGGATACAGAAAGATCTTTTGTCTCCTGGTTCACTCCCCAAGTGTCCACGTTGGCCAGAGCTGAGCTGATCCAAAGGCAGCAGCCCAGAGCGGCTGGGTATCTTCCGGGTATCCCACACAGGTGCAGGGTCCCATGGCTTTGGATTGTCCTCAACTGCTTTCCCAGGCCGCAAGCAGGGAGCTGGATGGGAAGTGAAGCAGCTGGGACACAAACCAGCACCCGTAGAATATTGCTGCGCATACAAGATGAGGATTTACCCATTAGTCTATCACACCTGGCCCCCACCCAACTGACTTTTTTTAAATTTTAAAGATCTATTTATTTTTATTGGAAAGCTGAATATACAGAGAGGAGGAGAGATAAAGAGAAAGATCTTCAGTTCACTCCCCAAGTGGCCACAGCGGCCGGAACTGTGCCAGTCCGAAGTCAGGAGACAGGAGCATCTTCCAGGTCTCCCACATGGGTTCAGGGCCAAGGCAGTCCTTAACTGCTTTCCCAGGCCACAGGCAGGGAGCTGGATGGGAAGTGGGGCTACTGGGATTAGAACCGGTGTCCATATGGGATCCCAGCGTGTTCAAGGTGAGGACTTTAGCCACTATGCTGTGGCGCTGGGCCCACTCAACTGATTTTTGAAAAGTATTCAGGAATGTTCTTCCCTCCAAGATTGAATAAATATTGAGTTTCTTTTGTCTTCTGTGATTTTTTTTAATAGAAAGGCAGATCTAAAGAGAGAAGGAGAGATAAAGATCTGCCAGCTGGTTCACTCCCTAAATGGCAGCAAAAGTGAGAACGGAGCCAGTCCAAAGCCAGGAGCCTGGAGCTTCTTCCATGTCTCCTACATGGGTGCAGGGTCCTAAGGCTTTGTGCCATCCTTTGCTGCTCTTCCAGGCCAGGCAGAGAGCTGGAATGGAAATAGAACAGCCAGAATTCAAACTGGCATCTGTATGGATGCTGGTGCCAGATGCCAGAGGATTAGCTTGTTAAGCCAGAACACTCGCTCATAAATAAATATTATTTTTTAAAAGATTTATTTTATTTTTTTAAAGATTTATTTTTATTATTTTTTATTGGAAAGGCGGATATACAGAGAGGAGAGACAGAGAGGAAGATCTTCCGTCCGATGATTCATTCCCCAAGTGAGCGCAACGGCCGATGCTATGCTGATCTGAAGCCAGGAGCCTCTTCCGGGTCTCCCACGCGGGTGCAGGTTCCCAAAGCTTTGGGCCGTCCTCGACTGCTTTCCCAGGCCACAGGCAGGGAGCTGGAAGGGAAGCAGGGCTGCCGGGATAGAACCGGCGCCCATATGGGATCCCGGGCGTGCAAGGCGAGGACCTTAACCACTGCACCACCATGCCTGGCCCTAGCCAATGACTTCTTGATAGACATTTCATTTTTTGGTTTATATTCAACTGGGTTCCATACACCTCAAAATGGCTATAGATTACTATTCAGCTGTTTCGTCTATTTTTATTTTAGTATTTAGCTGTTTATAGTGTTGAAGCATGATTTTGCTGAACTTAGTTGTTTTTCGGATGGTCTGAACTGGTTTATAACTCTAGCAAGACATGTGTCATCAGTTTAGGTGCAGAACATTTTTTTTTTTGAGGGGTGTGCAGAGAAATCCCCAATACCCCAATGAGGCATAACTAATCTTTGTGTTCCACCTAGTGAGGTGTAAGTGAATCCACGCTAGGTGTCACAGATTTCTTTGAGTGCATGGCTCACAAGTACTTTTTCATGCATTTCTTGGCAAACGTGCATAAACAGAGAGCTCCTGGAGATAGTGGCAGGACTCAGCTGGATCAGTCAGGCCACGGCACACCAACCTGAAAGGCAGGAGAAATGTAGAGTTCAGCCCATCATTGGGGTTTCTTCCAGAACAGTTATCCATGCCAAACGCCTGTCCACAACTCACCAGACACCAGGACCATGCTGATGCACCTGTATCTTTAAAAAAAAAAAAAGTATTTATTTCAAAGGCAGAGTTACCTAAGCAATCTACGGCGGTAGCCCAGTGCACTTGTGTCTCCCATAGCACCTCACTGGATGCTGGGCAGCAAAATGTTCCTAAGTAGAAATCGTCTTAAAAAATTCCCTTCGAGGGGCCCGACGCGGTGTGACCTAGCAGCTAAAGTCCTCGCCTTGAACACTCCGGGATCCCATGTGGGTGCCAGTTCTAATCCTGGCAGCTCCACTTCCCATCCAGCTCCCTGCTTGTGGTCTGGGAAAGCAGTTGAGGACGGCCCAAAGCCTTTGGGACCCTGAACCCCCATGCGAGACCCGGAAGAAGGTCCTGGCTCCTGGCACTGCACTGGCTATTGCGATCACTTGGGGAGTGAATCATTGGACAGAAGATTTTCTTCTCTGTCTCTCCTCCTCTTTGTATATCTGATTTTACAATAAAAATAAATAAATCTTAAAAAAAAAAATCCCTTCCATCTTGTAGGTTCCAAGATCCACAGAGCTAAAGAAAAGTTACAGATTAACCAAATCAACAGATAACTAATTTGCAAAATAGGTCAAGTTTATATAGAGTTGAAGAAACTGACAAGGAGCTGGGTCATTAGTATATCAAGCTAATCCTCAGCCTATAAGCATTGGCATTCCAAAGGAGAGACCTGGTTCGTGTCTTGGCTGCTCCACTTCTGATCCAGCTCCCTGCTTGCGGCCTGAGAAGGCAGTGGAGTTTGGCTGAGTCCTTCGGCACGTGGACCCACATGGGATGCCTGAAAGATGCAAGGTCCTGGCTCCTGGCTTCCAGTCGACCCAGCTCTGGCCATTGCAGCCATTTGAGGTGTGAACCAGTAGATGGAGAACTCTGTCCTTCCTTCTCTTTCTGTAAAAACAAACAAAAAACTGCCTTTCAAATAAAAATATAATAAAAAATAAACAACCTGAAGTCTGTGAAAAAAGACACGGCTCATCTAAAGAAGCAGATGTCCTGGCCTATGTTGGTTAGACATGTGTTTTATGGCCGAAGGTGTATTTAAGGAATTTGAGGGATTCTGCGTAACTCCTTTTCTAAAAGAATTTGTTTTCTCTGCCTGCCCCACACTATAGAGAAGGTGTTGGCAAGCATGTTTCCTGTGAGGTCCCCATAAAAAGATGAGGTGTTTTGGTCATAGGGTCTCAGTCACAGCCATTCGGGTTGGTCCCTCTGTTACAAAGGCAGAAATGGAAGTGTAAAGGAATAACAGTGTTTCAATAAAATTTTATTATGGCTACTTGCATATAGTTATTTAAAATTTTTTTTTAAGATATATTTATTTTTTTATTACAAAGTCAGATATACAGAGAGGAGGAGATATAGAGAAAGAGGTCTTCCATCCACTGGTTCACTCCCCAGATGGCCGCAATGGGCCTGATCTGAGCTGATCCAAACTTAGAAGCCAGGAGTTTCTTCTAGGTCCCGAGAACTTGGGCCATCCTCTGTTGGCTTCCCAGGCCACAAGTAGGGAGCTGGATTGGAAATGGAGCAGCCAGGGCTTGAACCAGTATCCGTATGGGATGCTAGTACTCCAGGTGGAGATTAGCTTAACATGTCATGGTGTTGGCCCCTGTTGACGACTCTTAAAACAGTGTATTGTATTGAAAATTCTAACACCCCGCCTCCCGCGCTTTTTAAGCTTTTGCTTACTGTAGCTCTGTTCAACTACAAAAACGAACCAGTGTATAGTTGGAGGCCTAGAGGTAGGCCAGAGGCATCCCAGTCACAGCCTGTGCCCTGGGTGGATACGGTATGAAACTCCCCCAGAGCTCCTGCAAATGGGAGGAAATGATGAAGAAACTCATTCAGATTATTCTCTTTTGAAACCTAGAGTCTGAAGAAGAGTTATCCAGCCAGATTTGAAGATCCTATAATAGTTCCTCTTCAAGAATTTGCATGGAATCAATACCTGCAAGAGAAAAAACGGGTAAAAGACACTTTGGGCAATGAGGGGGATTCAGAAGACAAGCAGCTTTTGCCTACGCACTGTTTTGGAAAAAGTGGAAGAGTTACTTCTTGTGCAACTAGACGTTACTTCTCAGATTCATGTAGTTTTCCTAAATAATTATAGTCATTTTTTCCAAGCTTAGTTTTGTTTTTTT